CACCTAATATGCTTAATTGGTAGTAGGCTTTCGAGCCTATACAGCTTGGAGTAAGACAACATGCATGAAGAGGATGATGTGGACAAAATACTCGTTTGCCTAATAATTCTGCACTCCCTGTATAGCACTCAACATATACAGCCATGTAAACGAGAGAATCTGCACAGCACCCTGTGTTAAAAGAAATCCTTACAGCTACGAGAGGTATTAGGAGGGTAAGTAGCAACCAGGTGCTAAAAATCAAATCCACTCGATTAATTAGTCTTCAGCAAGTGAGCACCTCTAAAAAAGCAGAAATGTTGTCAGTTTGCTGGTCTGGAGAATTCAGGTGTGTTACACAATCCCACAATCTTCAAAGATGTGGGTATTCCAGCTCAGACTGTGCAATACTCAGAGAAACTATTACTATCCAAACTTAGACTCTACGGTGCTCAGTTAGCAAGTTAAATGTTAAAGTTCATAAAACTGCAATTAGAAAACAGACTGAGGAAGTATGGCTTCTCTATGAAAACAACATGGAAGCATACCTGAGATTTGCAAAGCTGCATTTGAACAAACCACAAGACTTCTGGAACAATGTCCTTTGGACAGATAAGGCCAAAGTGTTTGGCCATATTGCACAATGCACAGAGACTGATAAAGTCATACAGAAACTGATTACTTCAAGATATCACTGCTAAAGGTGGTTCTACAACCTACTGAATCATTGGTGTACTTTGTTTTACACAGGATTGCATAAAGTCCTGTGGAAACTTTTTTTCATGTGACAGTGACTCCCTAAACACACGATAGAGAGTGATCACTGACTACAGGATCTTTCAAAAACCACTGTTAGCAGTAAGTGCCAAGTTGGCAGCAAAGCTAAGCCCCTCCCAGGAATGCTTAGTGTTGAGAATATTATATCCAAACTTTGATAGAAGTGGAGTAGGAAAATTTCCATAAGAGACAAGCCAGTCTTAACAAAGAAGGCACACCAAATTATACAAGAACTGCAATAAAAGTCAGAGACAAGATGTCTTGGAAAATCCAAATTTTTAATTTCTGATTTACACTGTCATCAGTACGGAGGAGGTCAGGATAAAATACAACAGTGCGTGTGTTTACAGCCAGGTGTAAAACCCGGTGGAGGCTCTGTCATGGATTGGAGCTGCATTTCAGTCAGTGGTGTTAGAGATCTTGTCAAAACTGATGGAGTTATGAACACGGAAAAGTATCTGATTTTGATCCACCATGCAATACTATCTAAAAAACCATCTGATTGGCAGCAGATTCATTCTTCAGCGGGACAGTGATCTTAAACACACTAATAGTATGGATGGTAGAACAACAAACCATTTAATTGCATCTCCAGTTATGATTAAACATCTTTGAAACTAAGGTTTCCTAATATATTAACAAACAATAGCTAAATCTAAAATCATAATGCAGACCAAGAACAGTCTTCCTAAATGCTAGCAACCCTTACTTGAGAACCCTTACTGTAATTTCCACTCGAGCTTCAAGGTTTTGATTTTTGGAGCAGAGAGGTAGCACTGTGGTGCTACAGCAGTTTCCAGTTCATGGCATGCTTGAGTCTTGGTGGTTCCTGGGTTGTTTCTAACCAATTTCCTCTCACCTGAGGGTGACAGATTGGCTCTTCTTCTAGATCTTAGCAAAGTGGTGACAGATCCAAATAACTTGTACTTTTATACGGTTGTCTGAACTGATGATGGGATCTTCGGTTATTTAGTAAGGGTTCAGAGGCCTACAACACTTTTCCTTAAATCTCCCTCGGACTTTCACATTGTGCTGAGTATCGGTCAATCCAGTGAGTGCTGTCGAACAAATCCTTTTTTGCTGGCGATGACAAGCTACTAGTTGCGGTTAATCAGGATCACTAATGAGAAGTTAACAGGTCTTGACTTCACACTGTAGAACCTTCATCTCCATTGAATAAAAGATTTCAGTGAGTTTATGCATATATTTGAGGCTATATATATACTTTTGATCCAGCATGGCTAAGAGAAAATAAAACCTGTGTGCCAAAATCATGTTTTTTAAACTCACTAAAGATGAATGCTGTACAGTCATTCCACTCTGTAAAAGAACAGTTTCAAGACATCAGTAAAACCCCCAAATCACCATAACATTCATCCTCATTATGAGTGTGTGCAAACTTCTGACCACAACTGTATATCTTAATGTCAGGTCAGTATACAAGGCATAAAATTAATGCTTTACAAATTCTCTGTCTGTTATGTAAGTTTATAACGAAGGGCCTTTAGTCTAGAAAGAACGTTTCATTTCTTTAATTATTGCCTTCATTGTAGAAACT